TGATCTAATGTAAATCGAACATTTCGATAGAGAACATCATTTAATATATTTTAAATATTTAAATGTTAATTATAGTAATATTTTAATATTTAATAGGAATTTTATTGTGATTAGACTGACAAGATTTAAACAAATATATGACAAGAAACATCTAACAGTCGACTATATGTACACTGGCTATTGTAATCCTGCTTTAATAATAATGTGTACAAGTCCTATGTGGCCCTCTGCTATAGAATCTCACAAGAGGTAAACTGCAGTTCAGAAAGAAAGCAAAGCTTGTTCATTTTCCGCTGTAAACAGGGAACTTGTTAGTCCCGGAGAGTAACAGCCACGCGGTTCACATTTTCCGTATGGCCACGGCTTGTTACTGTTTCAGGCAAAATATTCTGAGTTCAAAGCAAATTTCCTGACGTTCTAAATAACCGAGTGATTAAATATGCATCGGCCATAAAAGATATATTTTATGACTTCGCGGTGTTTATCATCATCGGAGTTGGTTCCAAGGATTAAAAAACTTCTGTTTTATATCATATGTCCCTGCTTGAATTCCATCATCACTCATTCTTAAACATATACCTAATTTATAAGTAACCTACTGACATTTCAGTAGAAAATTACCTAATTTTAACAGATATAGTTGGTTCTTGGACTAGTTAACGACGTCATACCATATACACAGGAAAATGTCCAACAAACAAGAAAGGATTTGGGGGACGCGGTTGTAGTCCATTTCAGGAATGCATACTTGATTTGTCAAAAACAGGCAAGGAAAATCATGGAAAGCTCTGCCAGAAGATAGTTACGGTTGTGTAAAGATAACCTTAATGATGACGTCATCTTCTGTTTAATTTAAAGGAATCATCATGGTGTTTCTGGCGAGCAGAAGTAGGCCTTAACTTTACTGTTTTATAAAGTAATTTGCTGGCTAAAAGAGGCCATGATGGAGACAGAGCAAGTCTCATGAAGCCGAGAGTAGATTACGGACAGCCAGCGAGATAAACCGAATACCAACTTAATTCCGTGGCTTTTTAAAAAGCATTAGGCTAGCAATTGGGGAGGGGATCTCCATTTTGCAAGGAGAGGCTGCACTAAGAAGATTAACTCTTTGTACGATCTAACTACTTGTTTGTGGATGAAGGTACTTCATGTTAAATTCAAAAGAAAGGGCAACGAAAGTCTAGCATCACTCGCGTTTCAAGCTGTGGCGTTCTGGATGTCATTTGAAGTTTTATGTCAAGCTATGTAAGAGAATTTCAAATTATCTGATGTATTTTTAAACGTTTATAAATTAAAGTGGAACGTTAAAATGGTAGTTAACTGACTATTCCAACAAAAACGGGTAATCCTAAGCAATAAATATTGCATTATTACAGCATACATTTAGTAATGAAGAAGGAAAATGTAATGTGTCATGATATGTTCTATCATGAAAAATTCCAAATTTACTAATAATTGTGGGTGTGAAAATGAATATGAAGTATGCAACGAGCAGTGTCGATCCGTGAACTTACAACAGCGAGGGAAGTACAGAATAAGGGAACAGCGAACGACAAGGGTGAGTCCAGACAATTCGTGCTAAGGCTCAGGTTCGGTCTCCTTAAATGTGGACGATTTCACGATCAACCGCAAGCATGGGTGAAGATTGTTGAATTTATGCCATCTCCTTTACAGGAGGTTGGCGACATATTATGAACAGGATCCTTCCATCCTTTTCTCGGACTGGGACCTGTTCATATGTTTTTAGGCAGGTGACACAGAAGTGGTTTGCCATTGCCTTCTTCTGTGTGTGAATGGAGTAATTGTTGGGATGCCACGGAG